TCTCCTTCTCCTTCTCCTCCTCCTTCTCCTCCTCCTTCTTCTTCTTCTTCCTCTTCTTCTTCTTCCTCTTCTTCCTTTTCTCCTTTTTTCTTTAGCTCATCAGCTTTTGTTAGTGTTAGTGTATTTTATTTGTGGCCCAAGACAATTCTCCTTCCTCTGATGTGGCCCAAGAAAGCCAAAAGATTGAACACCCCTGCACTAAGGCTTATAGAAAATAATGATGGGAATATTAGCAAGAATAATAAAGTTAACAGTATATGTTAAAGTAAAAAATAACTCTTTAATATGACAATTAAGACCCTTCAAAACCCACCCTTCATGTCTAGTTCCTTTTCCCCCTACTCCTCAGGACCTTCCATATCTCTGAAGATAATTATTTACTCCTCATTTCATAAATATAAGATATTCTCCTCTGCCCTTCAATTCTTGCTCAAGCCATTCCTATTAATGGAATGTCAATTTCTTGGCCTTTATCCACCTAGTAAACACCAGTTCATTTTATAGGACTTAGTTCAGGCATTATTTCCCTGAAAAAATTCTTCTCAACCCTACACAAAAAAAGTTTATATACATATTTTTGTATCTGTAGGACTTCTGTTTCAACACTTGTTTTGTCTGTGTGTGTTTCTCTCTTAGTACTAGCCTAGTAATGTCTCAAGAGAAGCTAGTAGGTTGTGATCAGTAAATTTTTAAAAATTCAATAGGTCGTGTATTTTATATTTCTAAAAATATTTAAGGCAATAGTTTTGATTTTGTAAGAATTTGTCTTCAAAAGCTTTTCTCAGTAAATTAATTGATGTGACTGAATTAATAATAAAATAGTGTATTTTAATAAAAGTTTAGAAAATCCATTGTTTCTTGGCTTAAAATTGTGATATAAATGTGGCTACCTTTTCTGTTTAAAAATTCCATTCAAATATTAAATTTTATAGTAGGAAAGCTAATCTATAGAGTTTAAAAAATACAGTTCCCAAATTATAATTATTTGAAACCTAACCACAAAGCCACAGTAAGACAAGGTAAACCTCAGCCTCTGCCTTTTGTTTGGTTGTTCTGTGGCTTTGCTAGGAAACCTCTTTGGTGGTTTGATTTAAGTGCAGTTTTTGAAGAGGTTTTTTTCACAAATGAAATAGCACACAACTACCATTTGAAAAACAAAGTAATGTTGATCCTTGTTTCTCACATTCATTTAAGATTCTAAAAATGGTTTCACAGTCAACAGCCCTTCATTTTCTCCTAGAGCAGGCAGTTCAGGGTTTTTTCAGGCTTAGGGAGGTTGTATTGTTTTGTCAAATATGTGCCTTGTCTTAATTTCACTCGTATTTTTCACAAAAGCACAGCAATGAAGCAAACATGTTCAAAACTTTATTCATTATTTAAAAATTTATCCTTTTAATCAGTGGAGTATTTTATTTTAACCCTTCTCTGCAAGGAAGTAAAATGTTTTCAAATTAGAAATTCTACTCTTTGAGCCATGTGTGGTGGCTCACACCTGTAATCCCAGCACTTTGGGAGGCTGAGGCAGGAGGATGACTTGAGGTCAGGAGTTCAAGACCATCCTGGCCAATATGGTTCAACTCTATCTCTACTGAAAATACAAAAATTAGCCAGATGTGGTGGCATGCACCTGTGGTCCCAGCTACTTGGAAAACTGAGGCTGGAGAATTGCTGGAGCCTAGGAGGTGGAAGTTGCAGTGAGCCAAGGTCATGCCACTGCACTCCAGCCTGGGTGACAAAGCAAGACTGTGTCTCAAAAAAAAAAAAGAATTCTACTCTGGAGGATTATTCCCTAAAGTAATTTCAAGTGAATAAGGTCTTTAGAATATCCCTAATCACTTTTATTATTTATCTTGTGATCATATCATCTTTGAATCAAGAGGTTTGGGGCAGGTAAGTGAGTCATTTTGTGACCTTTGTAGTTGTATCTAAAACTGATCTTTCCAGACTGCTCATTTTCTGAAATCTATACTCTGAAATTCCTTCTTTGACAACAAATTGCTATGAATAAAGCTTCCACTTTCTGTTGTGTGGTATGACATAATTTATTCACCTTGGTTTTCTGTAGACAGTAAATTTTTCAAAACTGGAAATCATGTTTTTATCTCATTCATTCAACAAATTATTTGAGTGCCTATCATGGACTAGTCCTTATACTCATTGGAGTTAGAGCACAGCATGAATGTACAGTAAGTGATACTGTCCCTACTTTTATTTTTGTGTTCCTATCACTTTGCTCTGCACTTTGAACATACCACAGAAATACTGTATATGTGTTTGTCAAAGCAAATAATGATTCTGTCCTGTTCTTATAACATTTTTATACTTATCTTTATGGTCAAAAATTTTCCCTATGCTTTTCATACATGTTTTTCTATGCTGTAGGAGCCATAAAGAAAACTAGAGTTGCCATACATACTTTTATAAATTTAAAAATAACAGCAAAGTGGAATTCATATTTTATTTGGCTAAAAGGCTCTCAACTCATCTTTCTTGTTAGGTCTGCATTTTAAATTATTAGCAAAAGCCATTTGCTTGGAGCATTTCTGTGAAGAGTACTTGCATATTGTTAAGCTTCAAATTGGTAAATTGAAAAGGATAGAGAGAACCTATATCCCATCTTCCATGTAATCTGAAGGAAGTCAGAGAAGGACATAGAGCAACAATTATTTAAATGAACCAGTGTACTACGGAATTATAGAATCATGGAAGACACTGACACTAGTAGCTTCAACTCTGTATACTAAAGAGCATCTGAAAAGATCAGTGTAATCAAATGGTTTAGAGGATAGTTAAGTAAACTAGGTTATAGTCTCCCTGAGTCACTTTCCTTATTTTGTAATGTTATCATAGTAGTACTAATCTTATGGAACTGTAGTAATAACTACATAGGATAATGCATGCTAAGCACCCAGCACACAGTCATGTATTTGGGAAACAAAATAAATATGAATTCCTTTTCTCTTCTTTTTCACGAGTAGGAATTTCTAATGGAACAAAGACTAAGGCTTTTATGAAAGCCCCCAGTTGTCTTTAGTTAAGTTATACCCCTCAGGAGTCACAGCAGGATGTGAGAAACTCAAATGCTGGGGCCAGATTCCCTGTGAAACATGAAGATAGCTTTAAATTGTTAAATGATCTTTAATTTTTGCCAGAAAAACTATGTATGAAATACCATTCCATTAAGATGGCTCTGCTAATAAAATTCTGTCTGCCTATAGGAGCACCTAATAAAGCTTTGTAAAATTGCCAGAGTTTCTTGAAGTTCAAACATCTGCCCAAGTAACTTGCTGCTGGGATGTGCTTTCTCTGTTCCTCCAGTTTGTTACAGTTTTAACATTAGTAATCTGGTTTATTCCCTTTGTGCTCTTGAGAGTTTAGGAAGCAAAATAGGCTAAATGTTAGCCTTTGTATGATACTTGTATACAAAGAAGAGACTAATGGTTTTAGTAACTGATGTAAGTGTAATAATATAGTAAGTGGTATGTGTATCCCTGAAAATAGTGTTAGATTATAATATGTTCTTTTTCTAAATCATATGAATAGTCAGTAATTGTCATTAAATGTGATCTTGTATACTTGTTCTTGAAAAGGTAATAGAACCATGCTGAGCTAGGCACATTTATTGTCATTTTCTAGGCAAAAAATCATGCAAAGCTGGGACTAAAGGAAGTGAAGAGTAAGCTAAAACACAAGGTACGTCACATTCACTTTTTTTCTGTTTTACCTAGATTCTTGTACTAGTTTGAAGTTTATACTTTACAAATTAGAAATTTATGTTTTTAATGACTTTTGAAATATGCCTAGCCCTTTATTCAAGAATGTGTTTTTTATAACAAGCCCCCTGGCAACTATCTGCCCTTCTGTATGCATCCACTGAATAATCTCTTTACTGTTAGCATATTTTATCACAGAACTATGGAAGTCTTCAAAGATGCTTTAACAAGATGTATGCTTTCATAAGGTTGATTGCCTTGATACCACAACTGAAGTTCTTGCTTTATGCTAAGAATATTTTTTAAAGATATCTTTGTGTAGACCTAATCGAGGAATACTATCATTTGTTTTGATAGTCTCATTCCAATAGTAGTTACTTTAAAATGAAGAATGTTCTTAATTTACAAAAGATTTTGTATGTGTTTAAGCGGTGAATATTACAGATATGTAAATGTATATATGTATGTTGATTTTAATATATATCTTCACAGATTTCATTATCAGTTATGTTTTGAATTTTTATCTTTGGAGAATACATACTATTAAAACTTTCAGTATAGTGTTAGCAAATTATCTTTATATAAATTTTATTCAAATTATTTAAAGTAATCAGAGATTTTTGTCTTTTTTTTTTTTTTCCTTTTTGTGGAGAACGGGGTCTCGCTATATTGCCCAGGCAGGTCCCGAACTCCTGGGCTCAAGCTATCCTCCCACCTCTGCCTCCCTAAGAGCTGGGATTACAGGCGTGAGCCACAGCGTCCGGCCAGAGATTTTTAAATTAATTTTTGTTAAATTAAATTTATTACTTTATATTAATATAAATTATAATTAACTTTATTAAATTAAATTTGTTGATTTAGATTATAGATAAATGCATTTTCTTCCTATATAGATTCTTTATACTGAAAGCTGAAGTGTTATTTTGCTACTTGTATGTGTATCAGATACTTTGTTTATTAATATAATAACTTTAGTAATAAAAGGAGTATTTTACAGTAATTGCGTGTATATTTTTTCATGTGTAGGAAAATGAAGAAGATTATGGGACCTGTTCTAGCTCTGTACAATATACACCAGTTTACAAATTACACAATGAAAAGGGAGGAAACTCAGAAAAACGCAAGCTTGCTCAGGTAAGTGAGATTATTTACCCTTCATTCCTGCACATTCTCAACTTACATAATTCCAATAAATTATTTAGGAAAAATTTGGACCCATTTATTCTTTTCTTATAAGAAAACCTGCAGTATTGGTCAAGGGGAGGAGTAGGTGGAATCTGGGAAGGCTACAAGGGGATTGAGAGTCAAATGTTTCAGAAATCAGTCTCTACATGTTTTGTTAGCCCATGCCCTCATAGATCTCAGAGTCCAGTGAGAGGAAAGACAATTAAATGTGTGATTCTCATAGAGTGCAGATAGCTTGATGATAAACTGGAAATCGTAGGTTTCCTTTACTACTAAAATAAAGTCAATCTTATACATGGGTATTTGGCCATTAAAATAGTGTATAGAAATTAAAATCTGAACTACTATAAGTCTATCTTTTTCTAAAGTTAGATATTTTATTTGCTATAGATATTTAAAGCTTCTTTTTATATGCTGATGCTACTTAAAATATTGTTTCAAGTGGCAGTGTTCAGAATCATAGCTATAAGTGTTTCTGTTTTTTTTTCATTAGTACATTTATGAAGGCTCTAACTCAACAGAATTGGTATACACCAAATCATATCTTAAGTGGCTTTAGAAAACTAGCTTCAAAAAAGAATTCTTGAGTGGACTATAGCTACAAAATTACAGAGCTAGAAGTGGCTGCAAAGCTTCATTTATTACAGTTGCCGAGGTTTGCAGATGAGAAAGTTGATCGCTAGCAAGGTCACACCACTTGCCATGAGTCTCATAACTGGTCAGTGGCAGAAGGAGGCAAAAACCCATCTCTGATGCTCATTTAGCTTTCCTGGATAGCCAGGCCCCACAGAAATATACGTGGCCATAAAGTGCTTCTGTGGGTCTTTGTCTTTGGGTCCATTTTGTGCTGCTCTACCAGAATACCTGAGTTGGGGTAATTTGTAGAGAATAGACATTTATTTCTCACAGTTCTGGAGGCTGGGAGGTCTAAGATCAAGGCACTGGCACCTTATGAGGCCCGTCTTGCTGTGGCCTCCCAGGGTGGAAGGCAGAAAGGCAAGAGAGATGAGGGGACCAAACTCACCCGTTTATAACGGCACTTATCCCACCCAAGAGGGTGGAACCCTGATGGCCTAATCATCTCTTAAAGATCCCACTTCTTAATACCATTACAATGGCAATTAAACTTCAACATGAGATTGTGAGGGGACAAAATTTAAACCATAACACTCTTTAAGAATGGGAAAGGATAGTGAAGCTGTACTGAAACTCTAGACCTTTGTTAAAAAAAAAAAATCCCATTAATTCAATCATTCATCAACACTATATGCAGACACTTTTCCTGGTGCCATGTATATATAAAAGAAAAACACAAAAATTCTCTCTGCCTTCATGGGACTATTTTTGTAACATATTGAATAAGTACTTTCCTTCTGATTTATTCATTTATTAAGCTGATATTTTTATATTAGAATTGCTTAATTACAGCATACTGACAGTCAATGCTGATTGTCTTTTCTAAAATAAGCCCTTCAATAAAATAATTATTCCAGAAGTCAGAAACCTTTTCTTGTTACTGCTGTTAAGAACATTCATTAATGTGTGAACTAATGATAGATTTGCTATTGATTTTCTGTTTTTTTTCCCCGCCACTAATATGCTCAATTCTTGTCTATTTTCAAGCTTTAACATCTCAAATACTGTTGTAAAGTGTTTACTGGCTTAATATTGGAGCATTTAGGTTATCTTTACCATGGTGAATAGATTTTCTGTGAAAAAGAATATGAGATTTTTGTTACCTATGGGATACTTTAGGATTAAAAAAAATTTATATTGGAGAAACGCGTTTTCAAAACATCAATTTCAAGTTACAATCACTATTAGCTCCTCATATTTTATTTTTTAATTATAAGTTGACGGTTTATAATTATAAATTTATAGGGTCTAAAGCAACGTTTTGATTCATGAATATAACGTGAAATAATTAAAAATAAAGGTAGTTAACATATCCATCACCTCAAATACTTAACATTTTTTGTGGCAAGAACATTCGAAATTTGCTCTCGGGACTTCTGCCAAGATGGCCGAATAGGAACAGCTCTGGAGTGCAATTCCCAGCAAGAGAGACTCAGAAGGTGAGCAATCTCCGCATTTCCAACTGAGGTACCAGGTTCATTTCAGTGGAACTGGTTGGACAGTGGGTGTAGCCCAAGGAGGGTGAACCGAGGCAGGGTAGGGCACTGCCCCACCCTGAAAGTGCAACTGACCAGAGGATTGGGGACTTTACCCCCTTGGCACTGTGGTTCAGATACTGTGCCTCTCCCATGGCTATTGCAACCCACAGTCCAGGAGAATGCCACCAGGCTGAAAAGCACCCCAAGTTTCCAACAAAATCTAAGCAACAGCTCCGGCCAGCCCAGTGCTGCAAGTTGTCAGCAAAAAAGTGGACAGAAGTATTGACTAGCCCACAAGCGCCTGCGGGAGGGATGTACCTACCCCCAAGAAAGAGGGAGAGCTGACAACAGAGAGACAGGTGATATGGCTTGGCAGGTCCCGCCCCCACAAAGATCAGCAAACTGAAACCCTCTTGCTTGAGACTTGCACATCAGTTCAAGCTCAACCCAGGATGATTGAGCTCAGTTGGGGGAAGGGTATCTGCCATTGTGAAAGCAGATCTAATCTCACCTGTGTAAACAAAAGCCAGAAGAAGCCTACACAGCATCTGGGCTGAGTCAGAGGCAGCCCAGCAATGCTTCTGCAGGCAGACAAGGGACAGACTGCCTCCTCATGTGACTCCCGGACCCCTGAGTAACAAAAAAAATGCCTCTTACAGCAGAGGGGTCTGTTAGAAGGTAAACCAAAAAAAAAAAAGAAAGAAAAGAAATAGCTTCAACATCAACAGAAAGGACATCCACTCAGACCCTGTCGGAAATCACCAACTTCGAAGATCAAAGGTAGATAAACCCACGAAGATGGGAAGAAACCAGTGCAAAAAGGATGAAATCATCAATGACCAGAATGCCTCTCCTCCTCCAAGGGATCACAAATCCTCACCAGCAAGAGAACAAAACAGGAAGGGGAATGAGTTTGACAAATGGACAGAAGCAGGCTTCAGAAGGTGGTTAATTACAAACTTCTCTCAGCTAAAGAAACATGTTCTAACCCAATGCAAAGAAACTAAAACCTTGAAAAAAGGTTAGACGAAATGCTAACTAGAATAACCAGCTTAGAGAAGAACATAAACAACTTGATGAAGCTGAAAAACAGCACGAGAACTTCAGGAAGCATATACAAGTTTCAGTAGCCAAATCGATCAAGTAGAAGAAAGGATATCAGAGATTGAAGATCAACTCAATGAAATAAAATGAGAAGGCAATATTAGAGAAAAAAAAGTGAAAAGAAATAAAGCCTCCAAGAAAGGGATTATGTGAAAAGACCTACTCTGTGCTTTATCAGTATACCTGAAATTTGCTCTCATAGCAATTTCGAAATGTACGATACTCTATTATTAATTATATTCATCATGGTGTGCAGTAGAACTAGCAAAATAATTTTTAAGCCTTCCTTTAACAAGGCATAGCACTTTTATGATAATGTAATTATAAAATACATTACTGATTTCTGTTTTTGTTTTCTGTTAACTTCTAGAAACAATTTCTTTTTTTATGTACATCAAGTTGTATAACATGATGTTTTGATATACGTAATAAAATAATTACTGTATTCAAGCAAATTAACACATTTGTCATCTCACAGTTACCTGGGTTTTTTTCAAAGTAAGAACACCTAAAACCTATTCTCCTAGCAATTTTCTAGTATTAACATAGTATTATTAACTATAGTCCTTACACTGTAGATTCTGATAGAGAAAATTGTATTAGATTACGGAAAACCTTACAGAATAATGGGTTGCATTCAGCGTATACTTAGACTGAATCTTGAGGGCTACTATGTATTATTAATTCAGTCATCTGCATTCATTAGTTAGCATTTTATGGTTTACAGTAGATATGACAGCAATGATAACTATAACAGGAATTAGGAGTAGGGCTTATTATGTTAAGAATTCTAATGTGATTTTCCTGATTGCTGTACAGGAATTTGCTAAACCTACATTTAGAATTGTAATGCAAATGTTGATAGTATCTGAATAACAATCTTTACTTTTGACGTGATAAATATCTGAGTTTCAGGAAATGTGTATACCCAGTATATATGTTTCTTTTTATTTTTTATGTGTCCCGTTATATAAACAGGTAAATATATCTGAGTGTTGTATATATCTTAATAGCAAAAATTTTAGGAGTTCCTATGCCCATTTTTCGCCTACTGATATCTATTATGATATAAATATTTTGCTTGCATTTTTTTGTATGATTGAAATTTGATTTTTTAGTTTTAGATTCACATAGGTATTTAACAAAGAGGTAAATTTTTGGCCCTCTGACAATTGTTTTCTGCTACATTTCACCCTTAATATTTTTTTCCCAAGGCTTTCAGAGTCCATGCTATCTTATATTACTAATATTGCTTTGAATGGATATTGAGTTGTTATGGCTTTGAAATGATAGGCACTTGGTGACCAACAGTTTATTTATAAAAGCAGAACAGAGTACGTTTACATTGAAATATTGTCAAATCCTTGATTTTAATTATTTAGTTTTAATAGTATTAGGAAACTCACAAATGAAATACAACAATATCAAGCCATTTATTATAAGGATATGGGCATTCCTTAGGACATCTAATTGCAGGAATATGTCTAGGCCTCTAGTAGAATTAGAACTAGGAAATGGAAAAAGTAATCAGGGAAGAATATCAGCTCCTCTCCCTACCTTACTCCTCTCTCTCTCTCGCTCACTCTCCCTCCCTCCCTCCCCATCCCTGCTCCTCCCCCCATCTCTCCCTCTCTCCTCTCTCTCCTTTTTCTTTTTCCTCTTCTTTTCTACATCTTCCTCCCTCTCACCTCCCCTGTTCCTTCACTTCTCTCCTTCTCTCCCACTCCCCCT